CTTGTAAATAAGATCATAATGATTAATATCATTTTAAGTCAAACAGTTTAACATAATTATTATTCAAAAAACACGATGCTTTTATCTATCAACCATAAGTCACGAACATAATGATCGTATTGATTTTTTTCATTTGTAAATAGAAAACCTACGATAATTTTTAAGTCAATCGAACTAAAGAAATTATTTGTCTTTTAAATGGTACAATGGATTTGTGTCAGAAATATAGATTTTATTTATTTGATTTTTAGTAGTAATAGAAGGAGATTTATTCTAGATAAACTAAATGGCTAGTAGTAGAAATTTGAAATATGCAAATACAGTGTCAAATCGTCCTGGGTTAGCATATGCCAATTCTAATAAGTCATCCATCAATAATGATGTAGCGAAAAACATGGAAAATCAAGAAGTCGATCGTCGACTTACAAGCCTCGAGGAACTAATAAATAAAGAGCTAAAAAATCAAAATACTCAAATCAAACAACTTCAAGATAGGATTGAAACGTTAGACGAACAGCTCAAAGAGCATAAAATTCAAATCAAACATTTGGAGGATCAAGTAATCAGTAAGTAAAAAAAAATACACATTTGAAAATATATATTCAATGTTTATCATCTTATATTGGAAAAAGAAAAATAAACATAAAACATAAGTTGAAATAGATTCATGAATATACCATCAACATCCAATATAATTTTTATTTAATAAATTACTTTTTTAAAGTGTACTTTCTTGTGAGCCTAGAGAAAAAATGATTTTTTTTTCTAGTCTCTTATTCTTCCATGTTGAATATTCTTTTATGTGATCAAGTTTTATTTTGAGTATATCGAAATGTGACTTTGAATGCTCATGACTTCGAAAAATGCTTCTAATACGTATCTTTTAATACAAAGATTGGATCAACATACTTTTGATTTTGTAGAAACCAAGTTTATTTTCGAAGAAAATAATGAGTGTAAGTGTTATCGAGGTTTTTGTGGTTACCTCTCTGTAGGTCCGTGCGATCGAAGAGAGAAGGGCGAAGATTATTGGGTAAGCTTCTGTAGCAACGTTAAAAGCCTTCGAACTCGTTTTCCAGAGTAGCTTAGCAATGAGAAAAAGTTCCAAACGGCATCAACAACAAGATATAGACTATGCTTTATAACAGTCTAAAGCACTCCTTGAAATGTCAATGGTTAGAATACATTGATCAACATTCTATATGGTGCATTTTTTTTTATTTTGAAGCGGATAAAAAAAACTAAATTCTAAATGTCAAGGATATATATAACAGGCTTATTTGCTGGTTAAATCAATTGATAAAATAATAATGCTAAATTAAGAAAAACGAAATATGAACATGAAAATTAGCGAGTCGTTTTCTTTAGCGATCGATTATCCTAAGAAAACAAGTTTAGTCTGATCTGATAAACATTTTTCATTTAACATATTTTGTATTAATATAATGGAACAAAAGAACATATGTTAGTTCCATATTTAAAAAAAAAGTACTCTGACAAGTTGTTTGCGTAATTCAATCCCAAGAATGATTTTATCTAAATTTTGGAGAAATTAGACAGTGAATATTTCTGTTAAGTCCTTAACATGAAGATTAAAAGATATTTTAACATTTTAAATTCAAACTTTGTTTAATGATTGATTACCATGATAATTAAGGCGAAAAAAAAATCAATCTTTTGCAAAGAATTTGAGCATTTCATTTGAATAGAACGCATTTAAATAGATCAGAATTATGTTGTTTGTCAACACTCTCATTATTTGTTTTTGTCAGACTTACAGCGTCATAACCCAAAAGAAAATACAATGCAGTCTATAATAACGACTAATATCACAGCAGATATGGAAAATCAAACACAGGTAATTATTCGATCCAAAGAAGATTAACATTTGGTTTTATTACCTATTAAGAATTTGACACCAAATATTAAGTGCGAAAATAAAATAATTTATAAGACCGATACTAATGGTGAACAAGAACAACCTGATAAAACTGTACAGTCAGGTAATGATTTACTTCAATACAATGAAGGCAAATCTGTAGTCATTTCTAAGAATCTAAAGAAATTTATATAGAGAAGGAACCGTTATTGGGTTTGAAAAACAATGATGACATGAATAAAATCCAAATGATTCCAAATTCTAATATAGTGAAGAAAGAAAATATTCATGAAAACAAGAATAAATCTGAAATAATTATTGGTAAGTGAGTTCACTCGGAATATCAAATTTCTCAATGAGAAATTTCAAATCAAAGTTCATTTGCTTTTTGTGTGAATTAGAAGATGATACAAATACAATATCAAAACCAGTAACTAGCAAGAGTAGTGAGACAAATTCGCATTGCCTAAATTTCCATTATACTACAAGTAAGCAGAAACATATTGTTATATTTTAGACGTAGTACAATCGACTATTTCAACTGAAGAATTTCATAATGTCATAAAAGATCAAGATACAACAAAATACACAGAAAGCAAAGAAAAAAGTGAGTTGCTTTTTTTAAATAGCAATACTTAATGAAGAAAACGTTGCTTTAGCAAATGAATTGAAGAATAGCAGGGAATGTTCTTCATCAGAAAATTCTGCTCATAATCGTAAAGTTATGCGATCAACAGAATCTTCAAATGAGTCTTCTGAGAATTGTAAGAATATAAAAATTTTGATTTCAACAAAATCATCAAGAAAAAAAATAAGATGAAAATGTCTTGTATTAAAATGTTTCAAAGGTAAGAGAATTCAATTGAAACTGAAGAAATGCAAGTATAATATAACCTCTCTATAGTAGACACCTTACAGACTTTTCAAAAGTGTCCACAATCAGGAGACTTGATCTTTTCTAAAAGCAGTTTTTTTGACAAGGAACAAATATGCTTTTTAGGTATCTGAAAGGTATTAGTGAACAAAAAACCTACCTTTTACTTACTGCTATTTGCCTTTTTATGTATTTTTGTTTTATGAAAAATTAACAATTATTAAAATATAGTAAAATCTCCCTAATTCCAGCAAAAATCACTTCGTCAGACCGCGGATTGCTCACCACAAACAGCTTTACTGCGGTAAAAAAGTTTTTCAAAGTTTCTATTTAATACGTATAGAAACGAAATCAGTAAAAAAAAACGAGAATCGAATATATGTTAGTATTCCTGTAGATCTATTTGTGTTTTTAAAGAGAAATGAGGGATGATAATAACTTATACACATGAATGAATCTCTAAACTTCTAATGATAAAATACATGTCGGTTAGTAAATATTCATGAGCTATTATATAATCATTGTCATTGTATTGATACTGGATAAGTATGTTTAGTTGTTGTAATTCTCATTAATATTTATTTCAATTTCAAAAGATACCCAAACAAATCAATATAAATCATTTTTTGCAGGATGTTCACTTGGATCTGAAAATTTTGAGTTTGCTCGTTGGATGGATTCACGAGACGATAGTTATTCTTTATGGTCAACTGAAAAACATCGATATCAACTGCTTTCATATATCGGTAAAATCTATGGACAAAAACATAATATTCATCATGTATTGGCTCCACTAAGAATTGGCTTTAATAAGTCAGGTGAACTCGATCTGCTGTATAAAATAATCAAAAAACTCGAGAAACAACCTGGTTCATCTATCAAGAGATAAAAATCTTTCAATACTGACTCTATTTCTTAGGTGCTCAAAATTCACTTCGGGAATGGCAATCGCAAACTCGACCTGATCATCGTGTAGTCGAAATCAAGGCTATGTTTGAGTTCAATCGTACTTGTCCATCATCACTTGGTGATTTGAAGATGTCATCATCATCATCTGATTTAAAAGAGATTATTAATCGTGCATCTATAAATGCCTATTTTGATATGATTTGTCGTGATGGTTCGACTACAACTGAGATTGGCGAGTATTTGAATTTGAGTAAAGAAAATATTTTTGGTGGAACTGACTATGATAGCCACAATGATAAAGTGTCATTCGTAAACGTTAACTTAAATCAATCGATCATCAATCTTGGTAATTTTCTATTTCAGTTATTTAAAGAACATCTCACTATCTTTTACAATTGATTCATTCATGCTTTATGTGCTCAAACATAAGATAAAACAAAGAGTTTTCGTTAGATAGGTGAGCGAAAGAAAAAGATTTATATATATAAAATAGTTATTTGAAATATCTCATAATAGATCAAATTAAAATTCGAATAGAAATGTATAAAAATTATTTGAGAATAATGAAACATAATCAGTCAGAACACTGTACATGTTTGAAACAATTTGATAATGTCGATTAATTTTTCTATGCTCATATATTTTATTGTTTATCTAGCTGATAATCAGGTGGATCTCATAACATGTTTCGTCACTCTTCATCATGTTCCTCATTTGGAACCAATACTTGCTGAGTTTGTTCGTATTTTACGATCAGGTGGTTATCTTATTATACGAGAACATGATTGCAAAAAGGTGCACTCACTTACAGCTAAATATCTTAATTTTGTTCATGCTTTCATGATGATTGCACGTGTTGGTGAATTTGCTGATTCAAGAGAAAACAATTTGAAAAAAGATCAAGTTGAATCTGATGACGATTCTGTATGTTATACAACTGAGTGGAAACAACAAAAATTAAAAATCATTCAATATACGAGTTCAATTCAATATCGAACACGTGCTGAATGGCAGCAAAAAATAGAGAATGCTGGTTTTCGTCTTAAAGCTACACTTGATTATGATCTGAAGATAACGTCTAATCCTCAAGCGTTATATTATGCTGTTTTTCAACTGACTGCCAAGTGACTC